TTGATATAAAAAACGCATTTAATACGGCAAAATGGGGACTTATCCTAAAAAACCTGAATGAGCGAAAAGTCCCGGAATACCTGGTGAACCTGATAGGAAGCTACTTTCATAGCAGAACAGCAAGTATCTCCGGATATAGAGTCGCGTTGACGCAGGGTGTTCCACAGGGGTCGGTCCTAGGACCGGTGCTGTGGAACATACTATACGATGGAATACTGGGAATGAAATTGCCAGACAACACGAGAACGGTGGCGTAATATTTGTAATATGCGGAAAGCGTAATAAAGAGGACGTAGTGTTCAGAGTGGGAGACGTTGATATCGTACCAAAAAGGAGTGTTAAAGTCCTAGGAATCCATATCGACGATAAACTTATATTTAGCGAGCACGTGAAGATTACGGTACAAAAAGCGTATAAATCGTATGTCGCTTTGGCCAAATTGATGCCAAACATTAGTGGGCCTTCTACAAACAAAAGAGCCATCCTAGGGTCAGTTGTGCATTCGATTCTATTATATGGAGCACCAGTCTGGCATAAAGTAATTCTTATTGCTAAGTATAGAAACATGCTGCAATCGATACAGAGGAAATTGCTCATCAAAACAATTAACGCTTACAGAACAATATCGACAGAAGCGGTAAATGCAATAGCTGGGATACCACCGATAGAGCTCCAAATAGATGAAAGAATGAGACTTTACGCAAGAAGAAAGAGCGAATATATAACAGACGCGATTAGGAAACAAGAAAGAGAATTCACGTTATGTAAATGGCAGGAAAGGTGGAACGGTACTTCGGAGGTTGCACAACACACGAAAAGGCTTATACCCAACATTAAAGAGTGGACAGGGTGCCTGCACAAGAACACCAACTACTTTTTAACCCAGACTCTTAGCGGACATGGGTCGTTTGGGCAATATCTGAAACGGATGGGAATAGAAGAGGACGAGAGATGCAAATACTGCGACGAACCTACGGACACTGTCGAACACACACTCTTTAAATGTCAGAGATGGACACGAGAAAGAGGAAGACTAGAGCACGAATTTGAAACGCCAGTAAGAATGGATAACATGATTCAGATGATGATAGCAAATGAGCAGAATTGGGAAAATATAAAGGACTGTATTACAGTAATAATGAAGGAAAAAGAAAGAGAGGAAAGACTAAGACAGCAGGAAGAGAGACGTTGATCCCTATGAAGGGAATATAGGCCTCAAGACGTCTGATGACATATCAACTGATAGTACCGGATATCTTGGTTATATGGGCCAGCTATAAAGAGGATTGTTTTTAGTGGGTATTGACTTCCTGAGTCCCACACTACCCGGTGCCGAACAACTGCACCGGGCGTGCGTAAATGCATTTTTAAACCTCAATAAAAAAAAAAAAAAAAAAAAAAAAAGGGTAGGGTAGGGTAGGGTAGGGTAGGGTAGGGTAGGGTAGGGTAGGGTAGGGTAGGGTAGGGTAGGGTAGGGTAGGGTAGGGTAGGGTAGGGTAGGGTAGGGTAGGGTAGGGTAGGGTAGGGTAGGGTAGGGTAGGGTAGGGTAGGGTTAGTGGTTCGCTGTTTAGGAATCTATGTCGATGAGAAGGCTAATTTCCGCCAGCATATTATAAAAACGATAGAAAAGGCGTATAGATCATACTCCGCACTGGCAGGCTTGATGCCAAGGTTAAGGGGACCTAGAAGCGAAAAAAGAGCTATTCTCTCCTCAGTAGTGCATTCGTCTCTCCTGTATGGGGCACCTATATGGCATAAGGCATTACGGATTAAAAAGTACAAGGAAATGTTAAAACGTATACAGAGAAAAATGTTAATTAAGGTGATAAGCGCATATCGTACAATTTCATTCGAAGCCACTAACGTTATCTCTGGAATCCCCCCGATAGATCTACTGGTTGAAGAAAGGTTGAGGTTACACCAACGGCGAAAGGAGGAGATAATAACAGATTCCATACGAAAAGAGGAACGAGACAGAACCCTGGATTTGTGGCAAGTAAAATGGCACGAGACAACTGAGGTAGCCCAGATTACGAAGCGTTGGATACCAAATATTAAGCAATACGTAGAATGCAAGCACCGAACAACTAACTACTACTTGACGCAAATACTCAGTGGACATGGATCTTTTCGTACATATACCAGAAAAATAGGAAAAGAACAGGAAGATACATGTATCTACTGTGGCAATACGGATACTGTCGAGCATACAGTCATAGAATGTGACAGATGGACAGCAGAAAGAGCAGAAGTCACATATATATTGGGAGAACAAATAAGCAGGGAAAATCTGGTCCAAATTATGCTCGAAAGCCCGGAAAACTGGCACAGTATGATGGCATTTATCTCCAGGATCATGAAGTGCAAAGAAGAGGAAGAAAGAGTAAGACAACTAGTGACACGTAGGAATGAAGGTGAAGAGTAAATAGCCCTGTGGCCTTCTGACGAGGTATCCAATAGGATTGTACCGGATAGGCTGCATACAGAAAACACACAGAAATAGGGCACCCCCAGGAGTTTTTAGTGGGTAACTTAATTGAGTCCCACACTACCCAGCCGACCAACCGCTGGGTGTGCATAAAGCATTTTCTCCTGGTTAAAAAAAAAAAAAAAAAAAAAAAAAAGGGTAGGGTAGGGTAGGGTAGGGTAGGGTAGGGTAGGGTAGGGTAGGGTAGGGTAAGGTAGGGTAGGGTAGGGTCGGCTATAGAATAGTGTCTAAAAAATGCAAGAAACAATTGCCAGTAAGACTAGAAGGACAAAAGCTAAGGGACGTAGTAGACGGGCTGTTTCCAGAGCGAACGATACCAAAATGGAACAGACGCAATGATATTGAGACAGCTCCTGTGCCCGATGTCACGGAAGAGGAAGTAATTATGGCAGCGCGAGCTTTAAAAAACAAAAAAGCACCTGGGGAGGACGGAATCCCCCCCGAAGCGGTCAAATGCGCAGTCAATTGTAGGCCAGACATCATGGCAAAAGCCCTCACAAATGTCATGAAAAGGGGAAAGATGCCCGTGGCATGGAAAACAGCTGCATTAGTTCTGCTTCCAAAACCTGGAAAAACCCCAATATCGTATAGGCCTATATGCCTTCTACCGACGATGGCTAAGTTATTCGAAAGGGTTCTTAGAGATCGAATGTTAGAGGAGCTCGACACGAAAGGGGGCATCTCGGAGCACCAATACGGCTTCATGCCGGGCCGCTCGACGATAGATGCCATTCAGGAGCTAGTCAGACTGACAAAGAACACAAGAGAGGGACACTGGCGAAACCGTGAATTAACTTTGGCCATAGCGCTAGACGTTAAAAATGCTTTTAATTCTGCCCCCTGGCCAGATATCATAAAAGCACTCGAAAGAAAAAACGTAAGCGGCTACCTCATCGAAATAATAAAAGAATACCTCACAGAGCGAAAAATAAAAATAGATGGTTACGAAAGAGAGATGAGCTGCGGAGTGCCACAGGGGTCGGTAATAGGCCCCATTCTATGGAATGTGGTCTATGACGGCGTTCTGGAACTGGATCTGGGCGAGGGAATAAGACAGATAGCATATGCAGACGATCTGCTTCTAATTGTAACCGCAAGCAACGAGGACCAGCTGGAGGCGTTGGCGAGCCGAGGAATAGCCACGGTAGAAAAATGGATGAGAACGCATAACCTGATTTTGGCAGTCGAAAAGACCGAGGTAACGCTACTGACGGGTCGCAAAAAAGTGCGAAAACTAAAAATTAACTACGATGGCAAAATTCTCAACCCCTCTAATAGTTTCAAATATCTGGGAGTAGTGGTAGACAGAAACCTCACATGGATACCACATCTGCAAGAGACCGCTGTCAAGGCGAACAGGGTAGCCTCAGCCCTCATAAAAATAATGCCGAGAAATAAGGGCCCAAACTTTCGATCGAGAAAACTTTTATATAGCGTCGTAACGTCCATAGTACTATATGGCGCCCCGGTGTGGGCCGGAAGCACTAAGTATAAAACCAGTGTCGGTATTCTACAAAAAATCGAAAGGCGCATGCTTATTTATGTAACACAGGCTTATAGAACGACGTCCATAGAAGCGCTGCAAGTGGTGGCTGGAATACCGCCACTGGACTTGCTGGCGGAGGAGAGGGCACACAATCATGAAGCCGATGAAGGAGCAAGAAAGTTCAACAGACAATGCCTGACGGACAAGTGGGCGGACAGATGGAAAAAAACGAAAAATGGTGAGTGGACCAGAAGGCTCATGGTAGATTTTGGAAAGTGGGTCAACAGAACGTTTGGGGATGTTGACTATTATGTCACCCAGATACTGACAGGGCACGGGGATTTCGGCACCTACCTGAAAAGGATCCAGAAAACACCAACTAGCAGGTGCGAGTTCTGTACAGAAATTGATGACCCGGAGCATACGACATTCAAATGCGAAGAATGGAAGGAAATCAGGGAGAAATATTACAGACAGCTGGGAATAACCCTAAAGGTTGGAAATTTCGTAGATATCATGTTGGAAAGTGAAGGAAAGTTTGCCATTGTCCGGGAATTTTGCAGAGAGCTATTAGTTGCCAAAGAGGCGAGCAGAAAGAAACCATAGAAAAAAAAAAAAAGGAAATTCCCCAAGGAAATGCGAGAGCGGTTCTGGGAAGTGGGGGTGGAGTTTTAGTGGGTAGTACTTGAGTCTTTTCGTGAGTCCCACACTACCCCCGCCGACCAACTGCGGGGGTGTGCGTCAAGGCATTTCTCCACCTCCAATTTAAACAAAAAAAAAAAAAAAAAAAAAAAAAGGGTAGGGTAGGGTAGGGTAGGGTAGGGTAGGGTAGGGTAGGGTAGGGTAGGGTAGGGTAGGGTAGGGTAGGGTAGGGTAGGGTAGGGTAGGGTAGGGTAGGGTAGGGTAGGGTAGGGTAGGGTAGGGTAGGGTAGGGTAGGGTAGGGTAGGGTAGGGTAGGGTAGGGTAGGGGATGAACCATGTAATGTGAGCAAAATATACGACAAAATAAAACAATTAAGGGATAGCATGGGTGTAGAGAACAGAAATAAAATAGTGATAGCAGCCTCAGAGGGTTTCGACAGGACTATGTGCAGGAAAATTCTTGAATGCATATTCAGGAAAACAAATGTAGACATTGAATGGAGGATTCCAGGAAAGGCGCAGACGACCAATAGCGGAGGGGAAGGGAGTGGAAAACAGAAAAGGACAAACAATGTATTAACGTTAAAGAGTAATGGGAGCACGTACGCGGAGTTATTAAAAAAGGTAAAAGAAAATATTGACATTAATAAGTTAGGGGTAAACATCAAAAAGATAAGGAGTATAGGAGAGGAAGAAGTGCAACTTGTACTAGAAGAAGGAAATGGGAAAGCAAAAAGTTTTATGGAGGAAGTGGCAACTAAATGTAACGATGTTAGTGTTTCGATTAGAACGTACGGACAGATAATATACATCACTGGAATTGAAGTGACGGCGACGGAAGAGGATATAAAAACTGCGATAACCAACGTAGTAGAGATAGGGGAGGAGGACATTCAAATAAAGTCAATTAAGGAGGGTAAATACAAGGAAAAAACTGCGGTAGTGCAACTACCAAAACAAGCAGCCAAGACACTGGTCCGGGAAGGTACTATCAAAATAGGATGGGTAAGCTGCATAATAATGGAAAAAGTAACCATAAATAGGTGCCTAAACTGCCTTGACCATGGACATAAAACGAGGGAATGCAGCAAGGAAAAACAAGCAAGGAGATGTCTGAACTGTGGACGAGAGGGGCACAAGGCACAGGAGTGCAAAGAGGAGTCTTTCTGCACCAAGTGCAAGGAAACTGGACATAGGGCGGATCGAGCAAAATGTCCCCACTTCAGACTTCTACTTGATGAAGCGAGGAGTCAGGGCAAGCCACCGAGGAGAGGAAGGAATAGGGTAGAAAGCATAACGAGCGTTGCCACAGATCTCTCTGTGGGACGACAGTAATGCAAAAAGGTGGGTAGGAAACAACAACAGTGAAAATATTACAAATAAATGTGGGAAGGGGATATAGGGCACATGATGTTACAGAAGCGGAAGCATATAAAATTAAAGCGGACATAATTTGTATACAGGAACCTAATCAAAAAATAATAAAGGACAAGCACTTAATTTCAGACATAAACAAAGACGTTGCAATACAAGTTATGAACAAGCACATAGGGATAAAAGAACATCACGTTGAAGTAGGTTATGTCAAAGTAGTTTTTAACAACTGGTTATTATATAACTGTTACATTTCACCAAATGTAACGCAAAGGGAGTATGAAAAAATTGTAGACAATATAATGATGGATGCGCGAGCCGAAAGGAATAAAAGTGTTTTGATACTCGGGGACCTAAACGCCAAATCTTACCTATGGGGTGGAAGTACAAATGATAAAAGAGGACTCTATCTAATGGAATGGATGGCCGAAAATGACCTGGTTGCCGTAAATGATGGCATAGAGCCGACATTTGTCAGGGGAAAATCGAGCTCCTATATAGATGTAACATTATCCAATGCAAACATGTATAGAAAGGTGAAAAACTGGAAAGTCTCGACAGAAGAATCGATGAGTCATCACCGTTTCATAGTCACGGACATTAAAGGTAAACAGATGAAGAGGCCACTATTCCAAGGTAAGGTATCAACGGATAAAGAAACGCTCGGTACTACATTGGAACTGCTTACCAACACGGTTAACGGGGAACCAACTAAGATGGTAAAAGCTCTCAAGACCGCTCAAAAAATGGCACAGATTAAAACACCACACGAAAAACCCAGGGAACTGACATACTGGTGGACAGACAAGATCGGGGACATGAGGAAGCTGTGTAATGAGGTTAGACGGAAACTTACAAGGGGCAGGCGTAAACAAAACATGACCAAACAACAATTGGATTGTTTGGAAGTGGAATACAAAAAAGCAAGGAAAGAATATGGAAACGAAATAAACAAAGCCAAAAGAGAGTGCTGGAAACAACGGTGTGCAGAGGTAGATGACGATGTCTGGGGCCTTGGTTATAAAATAGTGACCAGAAATGTCAAACAAAAGAATTACCCATACGAACTCGATCTAGGAAACAAAATAAAGATTGTCGATGAGCTATTTCCGGACTACAACGAAACCATGGAACCGTTCAAAGCAACGAAGCAATACGATAAATTTACGATAGAGGAGTTGCTGATGGCAGCCAAAAGAATGAAAATGGGAAAGGCCCCAGGACCGGACCTGATATCAATGGATACCATCAAGACTGCAATCGAGAAGATACCCGAGGAAATGCTAGCGACTTTTAACCAAGTCCTCAGTTCACAGATTTTCCCTGTTTTCTGGAAATGCGCGAAGGTAGTACTGATCCCAAAGGGGGACCCAAACGAAAAGAAATTTAGGCCGATATGTCTTCTGGACAATTTAGGTAAACTGCTAGAACAACTCATAAAAAATAGACTCGAAGACGTAATAGAGATCTCGGCAAACCAGTATGGTTTTCAAAGAGGCAAGTCGACCATAGAGGCGCTAGAGAGTATAGTGAAGACATCTACCAAAAAATGGACAGCAGTTATCTGTATTGACATCCAGAACGCGTTCAACACGGCGAAATGGGGACTGATCATGAAATGTCTAGGAAAGTACAACACCCCTAGATACCTGACGAATTTAATACAGAGCTATTTCACAGACAGAAAGATCTACATAAAAGGGTACAGAAAAAAGGTGACTCAGGGTGTTCCACAGGGCTCGGTCCTAGGGCCGGTCCTGTGGAACATTCTCTACGATGGAGTGCTGAATCTAGTACTACCCATGGGGTGTCGAACAGTGGCATACGCAGATGACCTCACGCTAATAGTGGAATCGAACGAGAAGGAAGATCTGAGGGATAGAACAAATGAATCCCTAAAAGATATACACGACTGGGTGAAAAAACATAAGCTAAGGATCGCGTACCATAAGACAGAGGCAGTCATCGTTAAGGGCCCTGCGAAAAGGGAGGGCATAAACTTTCAGTTTGGAGGACACACAATCCAGCCCGTAAGATCGTTGAAATGTCTCGGCGTTCACATAGACGATAAATGTCGATTTTCACAGCACATTAAAAGAGCGGTGGAAAAAGCGGAGAAGGCCCATAGCGCCCTAGTTAAACTTATGCCGAATATCGACGGCCCGAGTTCCTGCAAGAGGTTAATTCTTGGTTCGGTGGTACACTCAATAGTACTATATGGAGCACCAATATGGCATCGAGGGGCGGAGATTAAAAGATATGCAGATATGCTAACGAAACTGCAAAGAAGAACACTGATAAAGACCATAAGCGCTTACAAAACTGTATCAGCAGCGGCGGCAAATGTGATTGCGGGTGTACCACCGATTGGGCTCCTAATAAAAGAAAGGGTGAGGTTACACAGCCTGAAGCAGAATGGGGCGGAAATTTCTGTCGAAATTAGGAAAGAAGAAAGGTATAACACCATAAATACATGGCAAAGAATGTGGGATGAGGAGAGGACGGTAGCCCAGCACACAAAGAGGATGATACCAAATATTAGGAAATGGTTGGAATGCAGGCATAAACGAACAAACTTCTTCGTCACACAGGTGCTCAGTGGGCATGGGTCTTTTAGAGAGTTTACGCATCGAATAGGGAAATCAAACGACGCCAAGTGCATTTATTGTGGTGAAACGGATACGGTGGAGCATACCATCTTCAAATGCTCAAGGTGGACAGTAAATCGGTCAAAGATATACCAATGCCTAGGTCATGAAATAAGCATGGCAAAAATGGTGGAGGAAATGGTGGAAAACGCGGAAAAAAACGAGGCCATACTGAAGTTCCTAGAGGGCCTAATGAAAGCGAAAGCGGTCGAGGAGAGGGAGGCACAGAAAGCGATGGCTGAAGAGCCATAGGGAGTGTCTGTGTATATGAAGATATGTCAAACTTGACAGTTCCATATACACCTTGAAAGGCACTAACTTGGAGGAGTTTTAGTGGGTAGGCGCTAGTAGAACTAGTTGTGAGTCCCACACACCCAGGGAAAGGAGGAACCAGTACCTGGGGGTACGTAACCTGTATTTCTCCTCGTCATAAAAAAAAAAAAAAAAAAAAAAAAAAAAAAAAAAAAAAAAAAAAAAAAAGGGTAGGGTAGGGTAGGGTAGGGTAGGGTAGGGTAGGGTAGGGTAGGGTAGGGTAGGGTAGGGTAGGGTGGGGTCCGAATGGCTGGTACCCGGGTCTCGAGGTGTTTCGGATTGCCAATGTCCGGGACGCATTAAAACTCGAGTAACGCCCAAAGGCGCCCTATTGCGGCCCAGTGTCTCGAAAAGGCTGTTGAGATAGTCCTGAAAAGGACTGTTGGGACGGCCCCGCGGGGGGCTGCGGTTGCAGTCCCGTGAGGGTCTGCGGTTGCGGCCCCGCGAGGGTCCGTGTTTGCGGTCCCGTGTGGGGCTGCGGTTGCATTCCCATGAGGGTCTGCGGTTGCGGCCCCATGGGGGGCTGCGAAGACGGTCCCGTGAGGGACTGTCGAGATAGCCTTGAAAAGACATACCAGCAAATCCTATCTCCACCTCCTCGTGGTGGACCCTGGTAATGCGTGTTCCGCATCTTACGATGCGCGTCACGTAGCCAACGGAGAAGGGTGAAAGGCGAACTTCCGGCGCCATATCGGGAAAAATTGGCTAAGGGAAGGAAAACCCTGAAAAGAAACCCACGGGACCAAAGGGTCGGGATGGACCTCAGTGGTGCGGTGGGTTGCCCATACTTACCGTGCTGCAAAATGCTGAGTAGTCCTTCGTCCTTCGTGGATGAACCGGCAAATCCTATCTCCACCTCCGAGTGGTGGTCCAAGGCAAGGCGGGGCGTGCTATGGGAGTACGTCTCGCGGCCAACGGAGAGGGGTGACAGGCGAGTCTTCGGCGCCTAATCGGAAGCACATGGGATAAGGGAAGGAAAACCCTGACAAAAAACCCGTAATCTAAGCCTGGGAAACTGCGGTGAGGGATGAATGGCTCCACGTATACGGGGTCGCGAGCAGCCCCCCGGCATCATGGCGAGGGTGTGCGGGGTAGGCATTTGCAAGGCCTTAGTGGAATAAGGTGCACTGTTTCACCGGACAATGAATTTCAGCCATACTCGTGGGAACACCATGGAAGAAAATAATAAACAAAACAAAAATCAAAACACTAAACCGAATATACTTTCCATCGACCTGACGGCGCTAGCAGGAGAAGGAACACAGAGACTACAGCATAGTAGATTGAACGTAGTGAGTAGCTTACGTAGATGCAACTCACTATCGGAATCCACTAAGAAAAGAAAATCGCTTGATACAAGCCAAATAAATGAAGAAGAAAGGTACAAAAAAATCCTAAACCCCGTGGCATACGAAATAATAGAGGCTATCGAAAAAACGAAGACACAAACTCAAAAACTACTGGAACTAGTGACTGACTGTCCCAGCACTAGAAGAGATATTAAAGACCTAGTGCAAAAGATAGTTAGACATACGGATATCTACAAACGAAAAAGCGTAAACGACTGGCTACAACAAAACAAGTACGAGACAGTGGCTAAGATGACGTATGACACAGACACACAAACAAGCGGAACAGAAGGCAAAAGTTCCGTCGACATGGGAACCCAAACAGAACCTTGGCACTACGAAAAAGAAATAGTGGCATCCCTAGAAGGGCTGAAGGACCTACAAGACTTTACAAGAGTCGAATCAAAGGAATGGGCTGAATACCTATACGTAAACACATCGGTCGAAGTAGGCAACCCATTGAGTACCCCAGACGAGACGGTGAAGGTAGTTATCCTCGAACCAGAAGACGTAGACATGAATTATAGCATTCAAAAAATGTATAAGGATAAATTTCCAGAGCTAGAAGGATTAACGGAAGACTTCGAGGTTATGGAGCAACAAATAAGACTGAAATCCAAAAAGGGAAAGAGCATAAATAAGAAAATCATCAGAATCAAACACGACGGAACTATCAAAGATATTTGGGATAAAATAACTCTCCTAAAAGAAGAAACGGAAACAGAGAAAAAGATAGCAATCCACCACGTTAAATCAATGACCCTGGAGTCACTTCAAAAACTAGTGGAGATAATTTTTAGAGGTACAGAAACGAAAGTTACCATATACACGACCAACCAATTCCTAGCAGGGACAATCAATAAAGAAAAACCAAAAAAAGAAAGATCCACATGTGGAATTATTATTAGTGAGGCAGAGAAATCCTACAGCGAAATACTAGGGAGCGTAAAAACTATCCTAGCTTCAAGTCAAGATGCCTCGGCAATACAAAGTATTCGAAGTACGAAAGATGGTAAACTCCTGATGACCCTTGAAAAGAATGACGAAGCGATGACAAACATAGGAAAACTAATAAAAGAAAAATCCAAGGATATGAAAACAATAGAACTAGGAGGGGAGAGTAAGGTATACATCCACATAAGGGGGATGCATCAAGCAACAACGGAGGAGGAAATAAAAACTGCCATAAAAAAACATATCGGAAACTGGAAGGAAACTTACAAAATAGGGAAAATCAGGCCAATGCAAAATGATATGGAAGCAGTTACCATCGCTGTAGACGAACCTAGTGCCGAGCGACTACTCAGCGATAAGTACATCAGAGTAGGGTATGTTAAATGTTCCATGGAGAAAAAATACAACGTCGAGAAATGTAGGAAATGTTGGTCATATGACCACACAACACTCCAGTGCAACGGTCCGGACAGGAAAGAATGCTGTTATAACTGTGGCGAAGAAGATCATCAAGCCAAAGACTGTACGAAAGAGGAGGCGTGCCCAGTATGCATGGAAAAAGGACATAGGGTGGGAACAATGAGCTGCCCAGCATTCAAGAAAGCCCTGAAAGAGAGAAGAAAAACTTATAGTAGACAAACAAGTACAAAAACATACAGTAGACAAACAAGTAGAAACACAACAGATACAAAGAGAGACCAAACGATAGAGCAGTCAGACAATAAACCAACAGAAACAAATTCAGTAACGACAGAAATGGAACACGAAGACGCCACTGGAAAAGACGAAGAACACATCAAGGATAATGAACAACAACAACAGCGACAAGAACAAAAACAACAAGAACACCAACAACAACAACAACAAGAACAAAAACAACAAGAACACCAACAACCACAACAAGAACACCAACAACAACAACACCAACAACAGTAACAACAACAAGACTAACAACAACAACAACAACAGTAGCAACAACACCAGTAGCAACACAACCACAGTAACAACAACAACAGTAACAGTAATAACAACAACAAAATGTTTATCAGAGTATTACAAACTAACCTGGGTCGTTCGAGAGTCGCACACGAGTTAGTGACGGAAATTGCCGGAAGAATGGAAATCGATATTACAATAGTCTCGGAGCCAAATCTAGCATTCACGAAGAAAGAAGGGTGGACAATAGATAAAGACCAAGCAGTAGCAGTATACACAAGGAAAGGGAAATGTACGATCGACAGTATAACAAGAGAAAACGGATTTTTAGTCATTAAGCTAGAAAAATTCTATCTAATTGTATGCTACATCAGTCCAAACATAGAAGAAACGTCTTTTGAAACGTCGGTTAATGCAATTATGAACAGAGTAACCAATCTCAGAAAACACAAAATAATAATAGCGGGAGACATAAACTGCAAAGCTACTCGATGGGGAGCACCCTTTACGAACAGCAGAGGCTACATATGGACCGAATGGATGGATTCGCTAAATCTAGAACCAGCAAATACGGGGGAACCCACTTTTGTAAGGGGCAAAACGGAAAGCCACATCGATGTTACCTGCGTATCCGAAAACTTCTTGGGAAATGTTAAAAACTGGCGAACCTTAGACGAAGTGGCCTTTACTGACCACAAATTGATATATTTTGAAGTCACTGACAACGAAACAAACCGGAAAAAGCAGGAAGATACTAGGAACCATTACAACGTCAATAAATATAAAGAATATATCTCGAAAACGAATAGGTGCGACACTCCCGAACGACTCAGTATAGCCATACAGACCGCCTTGAGAAAATCAACATTGCGAAACAAAAATATAAATAGAAAAATACCATACTGGTGGAACGAAGAAATAAACACGCAAAAGAACGTATGTATAAAAACGAGAAGAAGACTAACTAGGGCCAGCAAAAGCGAAGAGTTACAAACCAAGATAGCCGACCTCAGAAACCTAATGAAAACACAAAAAAAGGAGCTAAAAAGATTAATAAATAAAAGCCAGAGAGACTGTTGGAAAAAGCTGTGCGAAGAACTGGAACAGGACGTGTGGGGGCAGGGCTACGCCATTGCAGCAAAGAAGTGGAGTACTGGCCTACCTTACAATTTAACAATGGAGAAAAAAACCGAAATCATCCAGCATTTATTTCCGAATATCGAGGATACAATAGAACGGAGTAGATCAAATGGCATAGCACCACCGTTCACATTGGAAGAGTTGCAGGAAGTGGCATATGCAATAAAATCAGGAAGAGCACCCGGTCCTGACGGTATACCGCCAGAAATAGTAAAAGCAACAGCAGATATAAAACCTGATATCCTCCTGAATTTAATGAATAAATTATTGGCGCAAAAGAAGTTCCCGGAATTATGGAAAACATCAAAGGCAGTACTAATACTAAAGCAAGGGAAACCACCAGAAACTCCAAATTCATACAGACCCATATGCCTGCTGGATGTGCTTGGCAAAGTCTATGAAGGCTTAATAAAAGGTAGATTAGAGAGATCTCTAGGGGAAGACGGTTTATCCGAGAGGCAGTTCGGCTTCCGCAAGGGGAAGTCCACTATCCAAGCCGTCAGCTGGGTGATGGAGAAAACAAATAGGTCGAAATATAAATGGGTAATACTCGTATGTCTGGATGTAGCAAACGCTTTTAATACGGCCAAATGGAGCAACATAATAAAATCTATGAAACAGAAAAAGATCGAAAGCTACTTGATAGACATCATTAAAGAATATTTTAGCGACAGAATAATAAACATAGGGAAAAAACCGGTCCTAAAAGTCTCATCTGGAGTACCACAAGGATCCATACTTGGACCAACACTATGGAATATTATGTACGATGACGTACTAGAAGTCGAACTGCCTGAAGACTGCCACAGCGTAGGATTTGCAGACGACCTAGCCCTATTAATCCAATCGAATAATAAAGAAGATCTAGTCTCAAAGGCTAACGAATCGCTAATCAGAATTTCGGAATGGATGACGGACAACGAATTAAAACTGGCGACACATAAAACGGAAGCGGTCATTCTAAAGGGAACAGTCCAGAAAAAGATAAGAGACCAAATAGTCCTTAAAATCGGTTCACAAAAAATTGTGCCATCTAAGTCTCTAAGGTACCTCGGAATACAACTTGATCATCGAAGAACGTTTGGAGAACACATAAAAGCGGTATGCAAGAAAGCAGAAGAGAAGTCATTGAAAATCAGAAAACTAATGCCAAACATCGGAGGCCCTAGCAGCAAAAAAAGGGAGGTATTGGGCGGAGTGATTCACTCCATCCTACTGTACGGAGCACCAGTATGGCACGAAGCCCTGAAAATTAAAAAATACTTACATATGATGGAAAGGACCCAACGAAGGATGCTGCTAAAAATTGCCAGTGCATACCGCACCGCGTCCGCAGAGGCACTCTCGGTTGTGACCGGGATAGTGCCGATCGACCTGCTATGTTTCGAACGCGTAGAAATGTGGAAACAAAACGTAACTAAGAAAGAGGCCAGGGCAAAAACCATGGAAATGTGGCAAAGAAGATGGAACGATCAGCAAGAGAAAGCCCAATGGACTAAGAGACTAATCCCAAAATTAAATATCTGGACAAACTGCAGTTTCAGGCGGATCGACTTTTATATCACCCAATTTCTGGTAGGACATGGAGCATTCAAAACCTTCACGAAAAAAATCGGAAAAACAGAAAACGATTCATGTAACTTTTGCGGAGAAATCGACACCGTGGCTCACGCGGTATTTGAATGTTCAATGTTCACTAGGGAAAGAGCTGAAATCGAAAGGAGCTTAGGCAAAACGATCGACCAGGATAACGTAATTGCCGAAATGGTGCACGATGAAAATAAATATAATCTAATAACCGACTATATTAGACAAATCATGAAAAAAAAAGAAATCGAGGAAAGAAGAAGAGAAGAGGAATAAAATAAAAAGTAAAAAAAAACCCAGGTAAAGAACTGACGTAAGCCAGCGACTGGCATTTCCAGTTCTTTGCCAAAAGGGAGCTCCAGAGGGTTTTTAGTGGGTAGTGAAGCCTGAGTCCCACACTCCCCGGCCGAACAACAGCAGGCCGGGCGTGCGTAAATGCATTTTCCCTCTATAAAAAAAAAAAAAAAAAAAAAGGGTAGGGTAGGGTAGGGTAGGGTAGGTAGGGTAGGGTAGGTAGGGTAGGGTAGGGTAGGGTAGGTAGGGTAGGGTAGGTAGGGTAGGGTAGGGTAGGGTAGGGTAGGGTAGGGTAGGGTAGGGTAGGGTAGGGTAGGGTAGGGTAGGGTAGGGTAGGGTGTAGGGTAGGGTAGGGTAGGGTAGGGTAGGGTAGGGTAGGGTAGGGTAGGTAGGGTAGGGTAGGGTAGGTAGGGTAGGGGTAGGGTAGGGTAGGGTAGGGTAGGGTAGGGTAGGTAGGTAGGGTAGGGTAGGGTAGGTAGGGTTGGGTAGGGTAGGGGTAGGGTAGGGTAGGGGTAGGGTAGGGTAGGGTAGGGTAGGGTAGGGGTAGGGTAGGGTAGGGTAGGGTAGGGTAGGTAGGGTAGGGTAGGGTAGGGTAGGGTAGGGTAGGGTAGGGTTGGGTAGGGGTAGGGTAGGGTAGGGTAGGGTAGGGTGTAGGGTAGTAGGGTAGGGGTAGGGTAGGTAGGGTAGGGTAGGGTAGGGTAGGGTAGGGTAGGGTAGGTAGGGTAGGGTAGGGTAGGGTAGGGTAGGGTAGGTAGGGTAGGGTAGGGTAGGGTAGGGTAGGGTTGGGTAGGGTAGGGTAGGGTAGGGTAGGGTAGGGTGTAGGGTAGGGTAGGGTAGGGTAGGGTAGGGTAGGGTAGGGTTAGGGTTGGGTAGGGTAGGGTAGGGTAGGGTAGGGTAGGGTAGGGTAGGGTAGGGTAGGGTAGGGTAGGGTAGGGTAGGGTAGGGTAGGGTAGGGTTGGTAGGGTAGGGTAGGGTTGGGTAGGGTAGGGTGTGGGTAGGGTAGGGTAGGGTTGGGTAGGGTAGGGTAGGGTTAGGGTTGGTAGGGTAGGGGTAGGGGTAGGGTAGGGTAGGGTAGGGTAGGGGTAGGGTAGGTAGGGTTGGGTAGGGTAGGGTAGGGTTGGGTAGGGTAGGGTTGGGTAGGGGTGGGTAGGGTAGGTTAGGGTAGGGTGGGTAGGGTAGGGTTGGGTGGGTAGGGTGGGTAGGGTTGGGTAGGGTAGGGTGGTAGGGTAGGGTAGGGTGGTGGGTGGGTAGGGTAGGGTTGGGTAGGGTTGGGTAGGGTAGGGTAGGGTAGGGTTAGGGTGGGTAGGGTGGGTAGGGTAGGGGTGGGTAGGGTGTTGGTAGGGTAGGGTTGGGGTAGGGGTAGGGGTAGGGTAGGGTGGGTGGGGTAGGGTGGGTAGGGTGGGTAGTGGTAGGGGTGGGTTGGGTGGTGGGTAGGGTTGGGTAGGGTGGGTAGGGTGGGTGGGTTAGGGTGGGTAGGGTAGGGTAGGGTAGGGTAGGGTTGGGTTGGTGGGTAGGGGTGGTAGGGTAGGGGTGGGTGGTGGTTGGGTTGGGTAGGGTTGGGTGGGGTAGGGTGGTTGGGTAGGGGTAGGGTGGGTAGGGTGGGTGGGTGGGTGGGGTAGGGTTGGGTAGGGTTGGGTGGTGGGTTAGGGTAGGGTAGGGTAGGGTAGGGTTGGGTGGGTAGGGGTGGGTAGGGTAGGGTGGGTGTGGTGGGTTGGGTGGGTAGGGTAGGGTGGGTAGGGTAGGGTAGGGTAGGGTGGGTAGGGTGGTAGGGTGGGTAGGGTAGGGTAGGGTGGGTGGTGGTTGGGTGGTAGGGTGGGTTAGGGTGGTGGGGTGGGTGGGTTGGGTGGGTGGTGGGGTAGGGTAGGTGGGTTGGGTGGGTAGGGGTAGGTGGGTAGGGTAGGGTAGGTGGTGGGTAGGGTAGGGTAGGGTGGGTAGGGTGGGTAGGGTAGGGTTGGGTAGGGTAGGGTAGGGTGGGTAGG